CTCGGGCTACGTCACGCTGCACTCGGACTCGCTGGGCTCCGCGACCTAGGGCCGCCCTGGGCCAAAGCACCAAAGATGCCCGCTGCCCCCCAGCTCAGGGCAGGGCCAGCCCTCGGGGCGAAGGGCAAGCCTTGTCCTCGTGATGCGGGCATGCGGAGGGCGACAGCTGCCCTGGACGACTGTCCGGGGCACTTGCTCTGGGCTTGAGTAAAGGAGGCTCTGCACGCGCCCAGCGCTTCCAGGCGGGGAGCCCCAGGACAGGCCACCCCCAGACGGAACAGAGCCCTGCTCTGCAGGAAGGGGAGCCACGGACCGCTGCTCTCCACCCGGCACTAACCCGTCCCGCCTCTGCGGTGGGGCGTGGAGGTCTAAGCACAGGGTCTTCGGAGCCCAAGCAAACTCAGAGCAGCCTCCCTGCCGACCGTCCTGCCTCTGCGTCCCCATCTGTGAGGCAGGCGACCAGGTTAACTCAGGACTGAACAAGTGCTGGTCCCAGTGCTCTGACCACGGAGCGGACAGGGCAGGAGAGGTAGTCTCAGGCCCTCCGCGGCCCCAGGCCTGAGGCCTCCTGCTCTCTGCCCCTGGCCCCTTGGGAACTCACCACACACACCCCTACTAAAGCACAACTCACACATCCTCGCGGTTGGCACCACCCCCACCTTGCCACTGTTATGTTCTCACTGCCTGTCCCCACACGGTGGCCACCTCTGTGACTACCACCACGGAGGCCGTGGGTCCCTGGTGGGAAGGACTGGAGCGAAGGAGGAGTGGGCTTTCTTACTCTGCCCCCCCTGCCCCATCCCTGCCCTACGGGTGTGGCCCACAGCCTCCCAGGTTCTGACAGGGTCCGTGCCCCCCCCCCCACTGTGGACAGGGCTCTCCCTCCTGGCAGACCCCTTGCAGGCCTGGGCTTTGGCATGGGCCCTGGGGAAGGGCCTAGGCACAGGCTCAGGAGAGGCCCAGGAGCAGCTGTGACCTTGAGTGGCAGACGGGCAAGTGCAGAGGCTGTCTGGTCCCGGCCGCAGCCTTCATGCAGTGGCCCCGACACACGAAGCCTGGACCAGGCCCGGGGCCAGCCTGCTCACATTCCCTCCCGCTCTGCCCCTGCCCCTCCTGTGGCCAGACCTCCCTCCACACACCCCAGACTGGTCCCAGCCCCAGACTAGGCCACTGGGAGGAGGGAGGAGGAGGGACTGCCTGGCTCCATCTCTGCCTCAGAGGCCCCTGCAGCCCCTGGCTGTGGGGTAACCTTGGGGGATGAGCTGGCCACGGGTGAGCAAGGCAGGGGACTGCTGTCCAGCCCGGCCAGTACTGCTGTGCCTTCCAGGACTGACCCGTCATGAGGTGATCAGCTAGCCACTCCCCCTCCCTCAGGCTGGCCCATTTGTCACCTTGGAGTTTTTACTTTCCTATCCAGCGGCAATACTTACAGGGGGACATGGCACCCCAGAGTCTATCTAGTCCTGGTTTTTACAAAATAAGAAGAGGCAGGACCCCAAGCGGAGGGCCCTGGGGCCTGGACCCTCTCACACTCTGTGTGGCCCCCAGGCCCATTTGCTGCGTTGATAGCAGCCTGACCCTGGGCTTAGCGGGGAGGGGTTCTGTCCAACCCCTGTTGGACAGCCCAAAGCCAGGGATCCGTTCATAGTTGTTTTTTTTGTTTTGTTTTTTGACAACTAAGCATTTCTCTCTGTACAGGCCCAATAAAACCTCCTGTGATTTGCACCTGGCATTTCTATGCTGGTTTCATGGAAACACCTTTCTAGAATCTAATAGCACCCCTGGCCACCACCCCCAGATGTGTCTTTCCAATTCCTCTACTAGTGCGGCATTCTTGGGGGCTGGGCTCGCCCCTTTTGACTGGCACGTGCGATGGCACAGAGTGTCAGGGGCCTGGAGCAGTGGGTGAGCACCAAGGCCCTAATAGCAGAAGCAGTCCCTGCCCTGGTGATGGCTTAGGGGCCGAAAGCCTTCGTAAGGTTGGTTCAGGAGGGCGACAAGGGCAGGGCAGTTTGGAGCCCGGGCGGCGGGACCGGTTGTGCCCGGTGACCATGCCCCTGGGCCGGGTTGGGGTTTGGAAGCCGCTTCCTGGGTCTGCGGTGCGAGGTCGCCACCTGGTGTCCGGAAGGGGTATTAGGGTCACCAGCCACATCTAGGACTGTGGGAACCCGAGATCCGACAGACAGGCCGCCCCCAAATCGCTACCGCCCGGACCCCCGCCCCGACCTTCGCTCCGGAGACCCGGCTGGGTTGGGTGGGGGGACCCGGCCGCGCTCTCCCCGCGATCTGATCTGTATGGGTTTTTAGCACACGAGCAAGGCAGGGGCAGCCAAGAACGAGAAGAGTTTTATACAAAGTTGGTATTTGTAGTTCAAAGAGACGCACTTAAGTGGGTCGCGTGGGATAAATGAGAACCCATTTCTCAGGTTCGCACTGTCTTTATTCTGCATTTCAAACTGGTGTGAGGAGGTGTCAAAGTCTCTTCCTGGGCACAGCCCGAGAACCCCCACCCCCAGGCTCCCCCTCCCGTGCTGGGGCCCCCGAAACAGGTGCCCAGCCCTCCGAGGGCTGTCGAAGGACGTGGGCTTCTAGACGGGGACTCTGCGGAGCCGGGGTCTTTGCCGAGTGGGAAAGGGGACACTCCCACGGGAGGAGCCCGGCTTCCTTCCAGCCCCCCTCACACAGGCGCGACAGTGCGCTGGTCCCCTGGAGCCGCG